ATCCTCAATGCAGATGACGTGTTGCTGAATGGATAACTGGCAAGTTATTTGTCAAAAGGTTCCTGTGCAAAGATGTGGTTTGATTCCAAAATATTTTGTTCAAGTTCAATAGCCATAAAATGATTCTGGTTGGGAACACAGAATTGGGTGCTTTCTGCTTTCCTTAACTTCAGAAGTCTATTTTATTAGATCCTGGAGTTTTTTAAATGAAATACACACTTCAGGTTTCCTTTGCTGCTTATCTAATACTCTATCAATACAGTGATTTCAGCTTTTAATTTTTAGTTTTAATGATTAAGTGCATCCTCCTTAGTGAATGCTTTCTGTATCAGTTTAAAATGTCTCGGAAACAGAAATGTCCATGCAGTCCAAATAAAATACAGTCCACTGTGACGTGCAGTTTTGCCTGACTATACTGGAGAATGCTACAGTGGAGCTGTCCAGTGATACAGGTGATACAGGTGACAAAATGACTTTGAGACCAGGGCCAAGGAAGGTTAAAATAGGTTAATCACCTACATGAGCATTCTCAACTTTCTGAATCCTTCGTGTGATTGCAGTTTGATTTCATCAAGCAATGAATCACAGCTGCAGAGTTAAATTTCCCTGAGGTCTTAACTGCCTGCAGAGTTAAACTTTCGGCATTCCCTATAGTCACACCCCCTCTGATTAACAAGCTGCAGCTGGTGTGAGTCAAAATCATATGTGGATATCCATAATGAATAAGAAAGGCCAGGACGGGTTTAAGAAATATAACTAATGCAAAAACTGCATATTAACAGAATTACAATGCTATAATACTGAAAAGTGTACAATTACACAAAGATGCTGTCAGAACAGTAAGATATTGTTTAACCTCACAGAGTGATTAACTTACAATGAATGTTAACTGTGTGTAGCATTAAGGTATTGTGGGATGGACTGTAGCAATCACATGGTGTGGAGGTCCATGCTGCAACATCACAGCTCCAGGTTCCTGTATTCCTGTGTTTACCTGGGTTGTTCCTGAGTATTCCAGTTTCCTCCCACCTGCCAAACAAATTTAGGGATTGGTTTTATTGGCTGCTTTAAATTGTCCCTCCCAGTGTTCAAAACCAAACCTTTGGAAATAAGTTTATTATTTAATTAGTATATTATTTAGTATAACAGAGTCTGACCATGAGTTTAATAAATTGTAAACTTTGATAAAGTTCATACATTACACACGTTTTAAGAGTAAAACTACACATCAGGTGCAGCAACTCCCAGTTGTTAAACTCACTGAGAGAATAATAATGTTGGTTCTAACGTAAGCCACGTTGTCTTGGCCCTGCTCCTCACAGACCACTGTACTTTCTCGTTTTCCAGCTGATATCTTAATAACCAAGATGTACTGAGCTCTTAATTTAACTATTTGCTAACGTAGAGCTAATGTATTACAACATGTAAAACAATAGCACAGGTGTAAGACTTTTAAGAAAGTTTTTTCTGTTGCTGTAAGTGGTAAGGATACGCTAATAATGATAAAGAATCTAGAGTGGGTAACAGCTTTAGTGTGAGAGTCACAAAAGAACTAGTAGAGGTTAATTTCAAAACCCAAAGAAGGCTCAACTGAGTGGCAACTCTATTAGCTACTGTACTGTACATCTACCTAATAGCGACCTGGTCACCCCTTTGCCCTCAGAACAGCCTGAATTTCTTGGGGCATGAATTCAACAAGGTGTTGAAGGATACTGGCCCATGTTGACTCCAATGTGTCTCAAATCTGTTGCAAATTAGCTGGTGGTGGATCTCTACTCTAAATAGCTTGTTTCACAGATTTCATTCCACAGATGCTTAACTGGACTGAGATCTGGTGCATTAAATTGAATTCACTGTGATGTCCTTGGTACCATTCCAGGACACAGATTGATCACATTAAAATGCCATATACTGTATAAAATTAATTTACAGTACTAAGGGCAAAATGTCTCGCAACTTCATATGGCATTTAAAAGGGTTTTAAAAGCACCTAGCAAAAATGTATTAAAATTCTACGAGAAAATCAAAAACCTACAAAAAGGGCAGATTGACATTAATATACCAACATGCTATTGATGCAGACTAAATATTACCGCTAAAAACACTGCCAGGTACAACTTTGTCTTTGAAATTGTACTATGTTTTAATGTTTCTTTATCAGCCCTATACAATTTCTTGCATTAGGAATTTGTCTTTTCGCATACCTGTCACGACCATCAGGCAGTCAAGACCAAATCGTAAGCGAGCTAATCAGCCCCAGCAGCGGGTGATTATTAACAAACGCCGCCGCACGAGTTAAACCACCTGCGCACACTCACTGTGTAGTGCGCACTGCTATTTATACCATCTTCACCTGCTTCACACTGCTCGGTATTGAGTCTACTCCTTGAGAGCTCTACCTGGCGGTTTTCCCCGTACCTCGTTTATTCTGGATTTTGGATTCCCCTTCTGCCTCCTTGACTTTGCACCTCGCCTCTCGCCTCGGACTGTTTGCTACCGAAGTACTTCCTGGATTACGACTTGCCTTTCGCCTTTTGACTACGACTTTGCCTCTCGTTTTGGTTTGTTTGCCTGCCTCATCTATCACCCGTGCCTGCGTCTGCACAGGATCCGTGTATCTTCCCACCAGGGATTCCTAACAATACCCCAGCTTTTTCTCCAAGGAGGACACAGACACACACAGACAGGGAGTGAAGCTTGGGGTCAGAGCACATGGTCTGCCATTGTATGGTGCCCTTAAGCAGTTGGGGTTAAGGGCCTTGCTCAGGGGCCCAACGGAGTAAGATTCCTCTGCCGGCTACGGGATTTGAACCGGCAACCTTCCAGTCACAGACGCAGATCCTTAGGCACAGAGCCTCCGCTCCACCCAAATTAAATGATACCTATTACATTAAATGTAATAGGTATCATTTAATGCCAAACATTCCAACATACTTTTACACATCAACACCACCTAAATCCAATTTGTTGTCACATTGGTCACATTACTTCAGCCCAAGTCCTGAAAAATGTTGAATTAATTAATTTTTATTAAGCTTTAATAATATGAGGAAAATAAGGATAACTGCCTTAAGTGTCTCCCTCCATCACGTCCCAGAATACAGAAAACTATGAATGAGTAAAATAGAATGAGCACATACATAGAACAGCTGTATAAATTACCAGTATCTCCAGAAATGGTTTCAAATTTTGTTTGACCAGTACAAGCAACATGATGATGAATTTATAATACCACTTAAGGAATATGCATAAGCAAGGTGCACTGTCAGACTGTGATAAGTCATGACTCTTGGCACCAGTCACATTACTTCAGCCCCTGTGCCAAACAAAATCTTAATGAATTCATATTAATCAAAAGAAAAAAGTGGGTATCTGGTCCAAGTGTCCACTGCCAATGCCCTTTCACCACACCCCAGATTACAGAAAACTATTTATGAGTTAAATAGAATACATAACAGCCGTAAATGCTGCTTAAAAATATGCATAAGCAAGGAGCATTCTCAGGCTGCAATAAGTAACAATTCAAAAAAAGAGAAGAGGTGTAAAAAGATCAGTCGACAAAAACATAAACTTTAAGCTTTGCAGGTTCCAAGGAATTCATACAAGATAAAATGTCAGCCATTGAATTGCTTTCCATTCACTTCACACCTCTTGATTTGCCTCTCTTTCTGTCCCCTGCTCCCGCCCCTCGCTCCTCCTCTCTCCCAGCTTTTGTTCTCCCGCTACATCACCTTTGCTTACTGCCCTGTCTTTCTCACACCTGAAGAAGGTTCCATGGCTGAAACGTTGTGTTTTCCTTCTTCTTTTTTCAGCATGGAATAAACCTATTACTTGTTCCAAATCAAAATGATGCCTGTCTGTGGGAGACTGACACTGGGACTGGGAGGGTGTGAAGTGTACGCGAGTCACTGAGGTTCCAAGGAAGGAGGACAACCACAATGTATTGAGGAATGTATCCTTAAAGAATTCATAATAAATGCACATATTTAGTTGTGTTACTGTTAAAGACTTTATTATTATGCACTTCACTACACACTCTGGGCTTTCACGGTGCTCTGGGAGTTCTACATAATTTATGAATCATACATTTTAAAATATTTGGCCATCCATCTTCCAATGGAGGATTCAACATCAAATACATTTTTTTTTCCATATACAACGTTCCTCTCCTTTGGAACTTCTGGAGCTTAAATCATGAAGTGGTTTTGCAATTGTTCAGCTGGTTCGAGCTCTGCAATTCTGTTCCGTGCACTGAAAAAGCCACATGAAGTAAAATGAAAAAGGAAAAAGAAATAGTGGAGCAAACAAGCTCAAGTTTTGATTTGACTGTAAATTTATCATATGATGTAGAACAAAAAATAAAAAAGAGATATGAATAAACAAATATAAGAAACATACAGACATACCCCCCCCCCCCCAAAAAAAAAAGAAAATCAAGAAAGTGGACGATTTATAGAAAACAATAAAACGTCCAAGTACTGCTGAAACAGTATTTATTGAATGTGATGCCTTACACCTTTTGAGCCTACAATACTTTTTAAGGAACCGTTCAGTAATTCTTTTAATTTAGTACGTTGGACATATAGAAAGGGTTAATTTTTCCGAACTGCGTTACCTGTGCAAGAGCTTGTCGAGGAATGAGATGGAGAGGTTTGCCGAGACCGAGGCCCTTTGAAGCCGTGCTCACCTGCAGGGGTGAGCCGTTTGAAACAGCAGGTGTCGCTCTGCGTAAAGCATTGCGCGACTGACGGTTCCTCAGTTTTCCACATTGAACCGTTCGGACAGTAATGATATTAAAAAAACAAAAACACTGCTCAAAATATCTACCTTATGAATACGACTTTTATGTTGACGTACAGTATGAGTTGAAATTCTAAAATATGTTTTCACAATACATCATTACATATATAAGATATATAATATACCTTTTAGAGAAATATACAGAAACGAACGTGTCTATAAAATACGAAAATAACAATTTCATGAGCCATAGCCTTATCTCGATCACCTTTTCAGTTATTAAACCTCGTGTGAAGCCCCACATAGTTCTTTTCAGTATTATGGAGGTAATGCAGCACTGACGTCCTGCTGTCTATTTAGCAGAAGCTGAGCAGTGGATGTGACCTGAATGCAATTTATGATTTAATAATGGAATGAGCCGCAAAACACATTGAAAACAGACTTTCAGAAACGAAGCCACAGAAATGTTTCATCTGCATTTTCTCAGCCGGTCCAGCACTGCTGTGCAGTACATGTGCGATTTTTTTTATTGCGGATACTCAGTATTGTTTTGTCTTGTAAGACTGTGCCGTAAGGATTATGCTTCTGGTGAAATTTTGTACGCCTTTATTTTTGCCATGATAAGTCACGCTTGGGTTTTTAAATAAAGTAATAGTTATATTGCATTTCCACGGTGTAATTCCGATTAAATAATCTATTGTGTTTTAGGTTCAAGCAGAAGAAACTGTGCAGGCAGGTGTTGCCTGACACGTCAGGCGCGTTCTTGAGGGGAACAAATACAGAAGGTATTTTATTTTACAACGGCGAAACAAAATAGCCTACCTTAGGTAATTTCTTTTCTGGGGAAAAAACATGCAGGTAGGTATCCGTTCAACAAGCAGATATCTAAAGGACAGCCTTTATCGCAGCCTTTCTTTACAGTGAAGGTGGGAGACGTGTTTAAATACCCGACCCAAAAGCTTGCTAGCACGATTGAATTCTCTGGGCAAAGGGAACCCGGCGGTTGTCCGCCAAAGCTATTGCACTGTGAGCGGCTGTCTCAATAAATCGCAAATAAATGGAAACCCTGGGTTTCAGAATTACTTTCTAGCAGAATGCAGTGACAGGGATTTTAATCCAGTATCATTACGCCGTTTCCGGTTCCTAGCTGGTGTTTCCCCATTGCAAACTCTTGAAAAAGCAGCATATCCAAATGGCATGGACACTTACGCAAGGTCTGCTGCTCAGCCGTGCTACTGGAGCCTATTTGCAGTCTCCTACTTCAACTCAACTCCATCATCATCACCCAACAGCAACGAGAGCACTGCAGCAGCCCGAGCAGCGACCACAGAGCCAAAGCAGACGGCATGAGGCTTGATTCAGTACATTTCTCCATGCTGGTCATCGGGGTCTCCTTCGCCTGCTACTCCCCGAGTTTGAATTCTTTGCAGGACCAGGCTTACAAATCAGCAGTGGTCATTGAAGGCAAGGTGCAGTCGGTACCTGTTAATGTCTCCAAGGAGCCCTACAGTGTGAATGTCAAAGTACTGGACGTGTGGCCCCTCAACAGTGGGGGTCTAGAGAGGGATCAGCTTGTGACCATCGGGGAATTTGGATCGGAGGCTCCGTGCACCAAAGTGAAAAAGAACCACAAATACATCTTTTTCATGGACCCAACCGACGAGCCGTTAGTATTCAAGGCATCGTTCGCTCCCTTAGACACCAGCGGGAAGAATCTAAAAAAAGATGTTGGGAGGATCTTGTGTGAAGACTGCGGTAAGTTTATTCTTCTCTGTAGTGAAAGCTCCCCGTGTTTCTGTTTGCTGTATTGATATTGCCCGTGGACACGTTGAATTGCGTTTAATAGCCTATTGAAGGCTTCCGTGTGGTTAAACCACTGCACTGGTTTTCCTAATAAGGTTAAATTATTAGTTAAACTGTAAGTAACAGATGGGTGTTTGTGGGGCGTCTCTGCAGTGTTGATATAATTAGAAATGTTAACATCTTTGGGTTTATGTAACATTACATATCTATTATATAGATAGATGAAGGGTAATTCTAAACACGTGTGTTATCACAATTATTTAATCTATGATTAAGGAGAAATTGAGAATTGTAGCTGCAAGTTTTAGGAAAAAATATTTTAGCAATTGTCTTTTGTAGCATTTTCCTTGCAACAGAAAACGTGCACTCAAGGGCTGTTTGTGCGGAAAAAATGGTTAATATATTTTGGGTGATGCAGTATGCTGTAGCAGCTCCCATTGAACGGAGCAGGCTATGCAGTTACATCTTTGAAGACCTTTCCAATATTTGCAGGGCAATGTGTTTGTGATCCCCTCGCTGTGTCTTCTGTGTTTCTGCACGCTAGAGGCTGATGATTTTGTTTCGGTAATTTTGCATAATCTTTTTTTTTAATTACCTAAAATCGTCTTAACTATGAGAGTTGATACTATGCTGCTATAGTAGGTACTATTGTAAACGAAGTTGCAGCAGCTATTTTCCTAATATTGTACTGCTATGCGTATCGTAAACGAAGACGCAGCAAGACTGTTGTATTAAAATATAAATGATAAAGTAGTGTGGAAGATTTGTGGTTAATGTACTTGTTGGAGAATGTACTGATGAACTCTGTGCCTTTCGTTGATCCTGACGTTACCCATACCTAGAATAAGGCTGTCATATCAGTGGTTAAACTTAATTTGGGGTATCTGTAATAACAACAGAGTCACAGTGTCATATTTGCTGTCTTGCGTTGCTGACGAATAAAATGATGTTGACTTATTCCCGATAATAGGGATTTATGCAAATATAAGCATTGTTAGACCGTTGATGTGGTGATAGAAAGTACTATACGACTATTTGATCTGGATTAAAAAAAAAACATGCCTGCATTCCAGTGCCTACAGTGTTGAAAACGTAACGTTTGCTGCATAGTTAAGCCTTACCGTTTAATATTAATCATGGTGAAGGTAGCACACATTTCATGCTAAAAGGTTCATGTTACCAACTCTAGATTTGTGTAATCGTTTGTTATGAAGGGGGAGCGGTTGGGGGATCCTGGCCGCTGCAGTTGAAAAACAATTCGCTGGTACATCACTTCAGACATTAGCAGTTAATATGAAGAAATATAGGTTGCTGAGATTTTAATTACCATGACCGAAAACCATAATTTTATTGTGTTCCCCCCGATTCTAACAGCTTTTATCAGGTTGAACAGTTTTCCACTGCAGCGTTTTACCATTCCTAATGAATTCAATACGCATCATCTGAAACATGTTTGCCTTTGCAATTATCAATAATACAAACATACATTTAATCAAATGTACTCTCCCATCAATTGAGACTTATTGAAACAGTCATACTAAAGATAAAAGGTGAAGGCAGTCCTTTTAAGAAACACTGGCACTTTACTGGAAGATAGTACTTCACAAAGGATCAGAATAAGGAGTATTTCTCACAGTCGAAGATGTTTGTAGAAGCAAATACCAAAGACAAATTATACATACCAGTGTTAAATAACCTTCATGTCTGAACTGAAGAGATTGTACAAAATATTGACCATAACCTATGAAAACAGTTGTTTGGGTCATTATTACTACCTGCCTGTGTGCTGGTGCTGCAGTAAATGAAATGCTACTGTGGACTGAATGAATGTCAGGTCTGTTATCTGCTGAAACCCGTTGCATAGCAAAAAAAAAAATGCAGATGACAGTAGGCTTGAGAATGGATAGAAAATACTGCATACAAAGGTGTCACTGACACTGTTTTAGTGCTCTTTCCTAATATACTAACTTGATTGTTGGGGTATTTTCAGTCATAAAGCTGATACATTTACCAAGAGTGACATCTTTGCACAGTAAAGCTGGAAATGGAATCACTCTGCTCTGCTCTTTAGTGATGTCTGTGGTACATGATCTTTGAAAATGTCTGCATGTGAAATGAACACATTGCTTAAAAATAAACAGAAGAGGAGAAATATGGTCCATTGCAGCCATGCAGTGTTCAGTAAATGAAATTTCCAAATGGGGTAGATGGACTTATTCTGTCTTGTAACCATTTCTATGGAAAAAGAATTTCATCTATGCCTTTTTTTCAACATCACATAGTATCCTTACTATACTAAAAACCTTGATTTATATGCTGAAGTGTCTTTAGTGTTAAATGCTAATTTTTCAGTCTCATATTTCCTCCTTTTGCTGCGCTGAACCTAACGGAAAGCTTGGAGGTTCATTTACCAGTCCTTTGTGGGCTTTTGATATCAACTAAATTTTCCATTCCTTCAAATAAAGGAGGTTTCATAGGAGTTTGTTGGACTGTTTTGTCATGCATGGATTATTGTTATTTAAAAGTATGTTCATGGAATTTTTAGTGAACAGAATAATAAATATTGAAGTATGTGAAGAATCTAAATTTTTCATCAGCGCTGTATGGGGCGGTTCAGATGCTTGTATAGTGGTTAACTACAGTAATATGTGCATCAGATTACTTAATTGTGATATAAACTGTATATTCTGCAGCAGAATCGTTGGCTGAACAGATCAGAAAGGTCTTCTCCCTCTCTGGTCTTGAATGTTTTCTACTGAGGACTTGCAGACTGAGTAATACAATTAGAGCAGCACTTGTATCTGTTGCTGCAATAGAGACTGCTGTGCCAGTTTGCTTGTGTGTCATACACTGCTCTGTTCGAAAAGGAAGGCAGGATACTGACACATGAATATCACTTTAGCAAAATAGTACTCTATACAGTAACTGTATTGATGTCCACCTGGCATCTATACTGTACATGTATTGTGAAGGTCATCCCCACACTACCTACGGTTAATTCAATTCACTTCCAACTTACTTGCTTGGCACGACTATTTACAGTAACTTCTTTGAGAAACGAGCAGAAACGCAAGCAATATTTATCAAAAACAATTATTGTACATTTTTTATATTAAGAGCAATAGATAGAAATAAAAAAATAGGTTAAACTAGACACAGGTCAGAAATGTGCCTGGAATATAATAATAGTCTACAAAATGGTGCCAAAACCCAAAACAAATGTAGTTAATTTTAGATTTTTTTTGGCACATCAGTGCATTAGACCGTGAGTAACTCTAGATTTAAAAGGCCATTTCAGTGTGTTTTTTATCCATTTTTATATGGGGTTGTGATGCGTGAAAGTGTTAATGAAGCATCTTAATGATAGAAAAGACAGTTGGCGGTCAGCAGTTGCTGAGTGGCCTAATAAAGAATACAATGTGTACATTCTAGCACGATCTCTGGTATTGATCAAACACAGTTCTCTTATGTCTTTAGTGTCCTTGAACTATTTTATATGTTGTTACCTTATTGATTAAAGTAGCTGTGCATGACCCAGCCTGTTTTAAAATTTAATTTGCTTCTACAAAGGGTGTTTTCATCTTTGTAGAGCGACAACTTTTTACAAGTTGTTAATGGGTATGATACTTTTAATATACTAAAAACATACATGAAATGTAAATTATATTACAAATACCCAAATAAGTGGAATAACAATGTCAAAATGTCACTATATCATATAGTTGTAGCTCAGGTGAATGTTATTTTTTTTAAATTGATGGCATTGATTATCTAAATAAAGGTCAATTTATGCATGCTACTCATCTCAGCATATTCAGTACAGTAAGGTTCAATACAGTACTTTTGGCCGTTGGGGAATTGCTCTTGTAGATAATTGATTTAATTAGTTTAGTGTAACAAGCTATAACTGTTGTCTGAATTCAACTGAAATGTATGAAAACATTCATGATAGAAATGGATAGTAGACAACCTGATTGCTCTTGAGTGAGGCACAGAAGAGTTGATGTCTCGCTATTGGCTAGATACCGTTAGTGAACATGAACAGCAGGCAGGTCATGGAGCAGGCTTGCAGGGACAGGACAGGACAGAAGTAATGAGTCACCTGGGTTGTGATATTGCAATAAAATCCCTCTAAATTCACCATGAGACTGGTTGGAGTGCACAAACACAAACTGCAGGAAACTGCAAAGCTGAGAAGCTGTTATAAAATAGTAACAGAAGAAAGATAAAATATAAAAAAAACAAAATTAAAGTATTAGAATATATTGTTCTTCATTGGATTTCTGCAAAGCATCAGTATACACTATTAATTTTATATGGACATTTATTAAATTCTCCAAAGAAAATACCAGGAAGAATCTATTTTTTCAGGCAATTTATAACAATTTTTTTTCTCATCAAAATATCTGTCATTGTTATCAACAACAGCTGCACACACTTTAGGCATTTTGTCAAAACAAAACAGGCCAAAAATATGTAGTACAGTATGTGTTTTTTCTACTACAGTGGACTAAAAATTAGGGTAAGTAGTTTAGATAGAGCTTTTGGTCTGCTGAAATGTCACATCCCCCTTCATCAGGCACAAACGGAAAGAAAATAATTTTAAAAATAAGAACACAAGACTGTTTGACCTTTCATGCTTGTTTAGTTGTTGTTTAGTCCACAGTCTTTTGTGTACAAAAAGGCCTTCTGTTCTTGATTTATAAGCCTTTTTGTTTTACAACTAATTGATTTTTTCATATATTATTATATTAAAAAATATTTTCATTTTTTCGCTTTACTAAGACTTTAATTTTTCTCTTATTCAATTCTTTTATGCATGTGGTGATACAATGGACAGTGGAAAAAATGAAAATAAAAAATGAAATAGTAACACTTTACACTGTTTTATATTAGGCAAAATTTGTAACTGACTCTCTTCTCGGGCAACAAAGAACAGAGAAACATCAATT